AGAGAGAGAGAGAGAGAGAGAGAGAGAGAGAGAGAGAGAGAGAGAGCCGGACACTCTTACCTGATGCAGAGCGGTGAGGCCGTCTTCATTGCAGAGGTCCGGACTCACATTGTTCTTCAGCAGGTAGCGTACTGGTGGAAAAGACGTGGAGAAACACATAAGTGACGGTGGAAGTATAAAATGACGGGATTTATATTTTGAATACAGGATTTCCTTCAGTTGGCTTCAATAACTGCATTTCCTTTCACTAAATTGAACCCGATTTAGAGGGCTCACTAACATGCATGCTTCACCTGCAGTTAAACACTATTTAGCAGCTAAGAATAGAAAAATATTCAAGAGACACCCGTGTTGCATGGTGGTGCGGCCATTCAGTTAAAATCAATATTTCAGAAAGTATACGATGTACGGAGAAATAAAACATCATTCTCGATTGCTCCAGCAGCCAGCAGGTGCACCGTTAACCTTTTGTTACCCAATGACATCACCAATCAATCCATTAATCTCACCGCGTCACTCTGATGCATCCCTGCAGGAACTTCAATCTCTCAAATTATCAGCCCTGCCCGGATGTTACCCAGCTGACCTTGGAAATTTGGACGAATGTTGGGCGACGGCGAGGGGAGGGTGATGGAGGATGATGTAATGACCCTTGGGGATTACACCGTTTGTCTGCCTCACAGTCCCAACAGATAAACTCTCTGCCCAGACCCTAATTCAAAAAATATCAGCGATCACAGTCTGCACACTGGACAGCTGCCCGACTGCAAAGACCGCTAAACCTGCTGGCCTGAGCAGGAAGTGGCGGTGGCACAAAGGGCTGCTCTCCACGCCAATATTATCCCCTGTTTTTTGGCAGCGCTGCCATCTGCCTTTGTCTCACAGAGACAAAAAAAACAACAACAACAGAGCGAGTGGATAAATCAGGTTGCGACACTGAAAGAGAGATGAGAGAGATTTGGGATGATAATTATCACATCTGTCCCTCAGACAGTCACATAAACATGAAGTAGATACACCACATGTTTAAGTACAAACACACAAAGTCAAAAGGCTGCACACAGAAAGACAGTACAGCACAGACATTAATGTAAAATTCATTTTTAACATTACACAATTCAAGCTGATCATTTGTGAGGAATTTCTGCTTTTCTCTGTTTTATTTAAATATAAACTGAATATCTTTGTGTCTTGGCTGAACAAAAGAATAGTTTAAAGATGTCTCTTTGGGTTTCTGGAGTATTGTGATAGGTCGTTTTCATTATTATATAAACCAAATGATTAGCCAATTAATGAAGAAAATAATCAACAGATTAACGAGTAATGAAACCGTATAATAACCGTTAGTTGCAGCCTTGCTGCGTGGTGAAAGCTGAACGTTAGCGGAGCAGCAGCTTCGGTCCTGCGTCTGCGTCTACACAGGATGCATTCAAAGAAAGTATTGAGTGTTTTGGCCGCACTAAGAGCCAAACCCACTAAATGTCACAAATAAGAAAAAACTCTTCAGGTCGCGGTTGCGGCCGTAAAGCACAAATGAAACACGAGCCATTACACGGCCTGCTGAATTGATTCATTTAGTGGTCTGCCACGGCTGATTTTGTCAGATGGACAGTAAGGCGACGCTGTTGAGAGACTTTAGTGAGTAAATCAAAGTTAAAGTGAGCCCTCATTTACAACACAAACTGTGCTGGCCCATGCACAATCAGATATAGTGCTACACAATCCTTACACTGTATTATCTGTTCACATAGCTTTTTGCTTTCTCTACATGCAGCACACACACACACACACACTAAATAATACACCATTGTCAGAATGCAAGCACCTTCTGTGTGAGAAAGTAAATGGCAGATGAGCAGGTACTTTGACAGATACTTTACTTCACCTGACATATTTTTGGAAGAAATCGTTCTGAAGTTAGAAACAGTTCGAGCTCCTAGAGGAGTGCCCATTGTATGAACTAATGACAGCTAATAAAAACGAGGCTGGGAGGCGATGACAACAAGATGTATATGAGTACCGGTCAGGATTAATGCCCGCTGGCTGCGTGTTGCAGGAGTTAAATGTTAGTGCTGTTTGACGATAATGGCAGCTGGTCGTTAAGGAAACACATTGTGCAATCCACAAAACGTGGCAGAGGGAGTGCTTTTTCAACAGTAAAGTAGATTGATGGAAGTGCAGCCATCACCAGTCTAACTCCATTATCCCACTTCCTGAATCCTGCAGCTATTAAGACCTCAATTAGGCTTCCGACAAGCATCTCTGTTGCAACATCTAACTATGATCTATGCCAGAACACATTTCTTTTGTATTATCACAACCATGTACGCAGGAACTCAGCAGCAGAAACATCTTACAACCAAGGACACCGGACAAAAAGAGCTGCTGTGGCTGCCTGGGGTGAGCGAGGGAGGGAGGGGGGGGGAGTGAAATATTACAGTGAGTGCTGAGAGCATTGGACCCAAGGTTATAGAGTGTGTGACATCCAATAAATGTCACACACCATCTCTGCTCTCCGCCGTGCATTTGGAGTGCTTTGTTGTCCATGCGCAGTGTGGAGGCTTGATTGTAAACACATCTCAGAGGAACTACAGCACCGGCATCACGCTCACGGCCAACACAAGCCGCCTCATCTGTGATTCTCTTGTAATTACATACGGAGGTGTTTGTTGTGTATTCAAAATCTTCCAAGGGAATTTCTAAATGTCATGCTGAGCTGCCGGGGAGATTATATTTGGATTTAAATTGGCTTGAAAGGCGCATTTAAATAACACTATTTATGATGCATCAAGCACAAGGTTTCCTGAAAATAACTGATTGCATTACTTTTATTTCCTAATGCCCAGAGGAGGCCAAAGGAAAGTCATTTTGTGACTCTCAATAAGTAGCAGTGGTTTATGAATTAATTTGTATTATAAGTAGATGATAAGCATGAATCAGCATGCGTGAATTACTGAACTATGAGGAACTCAACAAAAGCAAGCTCCATTGAAACGTTTTTACCAGTGTTTGCTGTTACACGGGCAGCTTTTAAACTATCACATTGACATAAGTATTCAGACCCTTAGCTTAGTACTTACAATTACAACCTTGAGTCTTCTACTTTCTGAAGGTGCTGTCTGATTTATCACGGCATAATCACTTCTAAAGAAATCTGTACATAACTAAATGCATAAACTGACCAAACTAAACAGCATTTGTCTGTTCGAATGGAAATAAATCAGAGCCAACGAAAGACTCCAAAACACCACAATATTATCTAAAATAGATAATACAATACAATAATAAAGAGGTTTAGGTGCTGATATCGGCTGCAGTGACAAAGCCAGGTCAGTTTTATAGGCAGCATTTTTCAGCTAAGAAAAAAAAAAACCTGTGATAAAACCAGATGTAAATGAATTAAGGATGCAACACGACCTCATCACTTCCTGACACAACCATCACTTATTGACACTTTCCTTTTGCTTCTGGATTCTTAGTTTACAGTAGCAAATTAATTACTACATCAATGAGTCACAGTCTGACAATATGTCAGGAAAAGATTTTTTTCAGGAAAACTTTCACCTTTTTCTTGCCCGCATACAGAGATGTCAGAGTTCAGATAGCGGGGGTTCAGTAGATGCCCACTAAACACCTGACGTGTTTAGTGGGCATCTACTGAACCCCCGCTATATAGTTAGTCCTATTGTTTAAGATGAGTAGAAGGTGGTCATTGTCAAAGATTATACGTCCAATACATCAGTTAATGTCAGTTTTGATTCAAAGCCTGTCTCGATGTACCTTTTCTGTCAAGCTTTGGATTTTTTAACTTGCTGAAACTAAGTTAATGGGGTTGCAATGACGAAAGAAGAATGAAGAGTTGAAAGATGAAAGAAGAGTTTGGAGGGTTAAGTTTAGCCTCTCTACAGATCCCAGAGCAACAGAGAAAGAAAAGAATTAAACCGTGTGTAGACGTCATATGCGATTGTTAGCATGTCGGATAACTAGCTTTCAAGAGACGGTCTCTGATCATTTCCAAGCACATCCGAGTGCGGTTCGATGGAAGTGAGAACATCATCTGAGCCTTCTACAGAAGTCCCATGTTTGATCGACATCTGCGCTGAAAAGAACGTACTGAATGTGCTAAATAAAGTCCACTACAATAGAGACTTTATAAAGTAATTCAAGATAAACTGGAGATGGGAAAAAACGGTTTAAAAACTTCTGATTGCGACTAGTCCAACGGAGACAAAGGGAAGCAAGTGGCTGCAGTACTACTACAGTTATTACTTTTAAGTGCCAGAGAGGTTGTGAGGATCTGGATGGAGTTAAACTTCAAAGTCCAATCGATCAGATATCTCGCTAATACAAAACTAACCACCAAAATGTACAAATAATCACAAATAGTCTGGAAAACCTTACTGTGAAAAAAGCGAAAATTCAATTTTTCCAACAGCTCTGATCAGATAACAGAGATCTCATTTCTGTTGCATTCAGCTTGAACAAAACTCATTATTTCGGCATGACTGACATAAAAAAAAATCCAGTTTCATGACAAACAAATCAGTGGTGTGAAAGTAAAAAACATCCGGATGAATGACAGAGTCTTGGTGAACATCAGCACTAGATAAACGCTGCCCTGCCACTGCTCACTTCACCCGCAGGAACTCACAGCTATTAATCTCCATTAAATACTGACTGGTGGTAGAAACTGTACACAAAGCTCTGCAGAAGTATATGTGTGTGCGTACATTAAGACATGCATGTTTTGACGTTATTTCTCTTTCACATTCTGGGCCCTTTTGTGTTTGTGTGTTTAGATTCAACACACACAGCGATGCTTAAAGACTTTTTGGTAATCGGAAGGTGACGGCCGTGTCTGACGGCGTCTGTGGGAGGAAGAAGTCAGATAGCTCTGCCTGCTCTTCAGGCTGGAAATTATACAATTAATAAATAAATACTAAATATATGGTAGAAACTAGAGAGAGATTAGCAGATCAACATGCAGGCAGCACAGACGCACTCACCACCACCAAAGCAGCTTGTTATTTCATTGGCTTTTACGCAGGCATGCACCAAAAATATATATGCATTGGTGCTGAATTGCTTTTTCTGTGCATTAGTTGAGATGAAATAGATTTGAGTTGTGATG